TGGGTGGCTTAGTCAGTTAAGTGTCCAACTTGGTTTGGCTCAGATCATGATCTCAGGGTCCTGGGATCAAGCCCCACATTGAGCCCTGTGTCGGGCTCCATGCTCAGCGTGGAGTCTGCTTGAGATTCTCTCTTTCTCCCTCTCCTCTGCCCCTCCCACTCATGCAGTTTCTCTCAAATAAATAAAATCTTAAAAAAAAAAAATCTGTGTCTAGATGCCATGATATTAAGTGTTAGGAAATGGCAAGGCACAGAGCTCTCTATGTCTGAAAGCATGCCAGATCTAGAACACCAAAGCCATAAACTGCATTTAGATCCCTGTTCTTTTATGATAAAGAGCAGTGTTTGGATCTGCTAAGGCATATTAAAGTGGCCACTTTCACAAATTATTATATATTGCTTATCATTATACTCCCCCAAATACCAGATATATGATGCTCTCTATCCCTGGTGAAAGTGATCTGTGGCCCAAGCACTTGGCAGTCGTACCACCAGCTACACGGAGGTCAAAGAGACCTTAGGAGTTATGTCGTGGGGTGACTAAAAGAGGAGAGTCACTATTTCAGAGATAACCAAAGGTTAAACAGAGAGAAGTCTTTCAACATTTTTTACTTAAATTTTTTATCTTGAAAAATATTATACAATGATACAATGTATATGTAATATATCCTGTGTACAATTTTTTTTTTAAGATTTATTTATTTAACAGAGAGATACAGCGAGAGAGGGAACACAAGCAGGGGGAGCGGGAGAGGGAGAAGCAGGCTTCCCGCGGAGCGAGGAGCCCGATGCAGGGCTCGATCCCAGGACCCTGAGATCAGGACCCTGAGATCAGGACCCTGAGATCAGGACCTGAGCCGAAGGCAGACACTTAACGACTGAGCCACCCAGGCGCCCCTATCCTGTGTACAATTTAAAGGAACAATAATAAAACCTATGCCATGTAAACATGACCCAGCTTAAGAAACACCTTTGAAGCTTCCCATGTGCCCCTCCCTGCTGCCATCCTCCCACCAGAGATAACTACTCAATTTGGTGTTAATCATCCTCCTGCTTTTTTTTATTTTAAAGTTTTTTATTTATTTAAGTAATCTCTACACTCCACGTAGGGCTTGAACTCATGACCCCAACATCAAGAGTTGCATGTTCCTCCAACTAAACCAGCCAGATGCCTCCGTTCTCTTGCTTTTCTTAACCAAATATACATGTATATATATCTCTAAAAATGTTCAATCTTACCTCCTTTTTAAATTTTATATAAATGGATTCATATTATATTTATTCATCTGTGATTTCTTTCATTCAACACTACTTTATCCATATAATTCATTCATTTTCACTGCTGCTTAATATACAATTGTCTGAAGACACAGTTGGATATCCATTCTCTTATGGATGGATATTTTGGTTGTCTCTTGTTTTTTGCTATTGCAAGAACGCTACTGTGAATGTTCCCATACATGTCTCCCGCGGTATGTGTACAGGTGACTCTCTAGTTGTCCTTCCAGCTACCGGTAATGGAATAGAGCCAAATCATTAATTACATGTCCAACTTTACTAGGCAATTCTTACAGTTTGGTGTGGTTAATGGCTGATAAAAATGTTGCAGTTTTGAAAACTTGGACAAGCTTCAAACGAAAGTTACAGGAAGAGAGTACACAGAGGAATTGGGGGGGAAAGCAAACAATACTCATAATCAAAGACTATATTGCTTACCTTGCACAAAGCAAGTGTTCTAAGCAGAATGAGTGCATTAGTGATGATACCTCTGACTGCAGTAACTTATCCATCTAAAACCTGGTCATATTCCTTAGCTGCTCTGCTTCCATCTTTGGTTTTCAATCATCCTGTGTCCTCAGTTCTGAGTACCTGTGATCCAAAGACCAAAGTTCTGAGTCCTGAGTACCAGTGATCCAAATATCAAGAGTTGCATGCTCCTCCAACTGAACCGGCTGGTTCCGCAGTCCTGAGTACCAGTGATTCAAAGACCAAAGAGACTATGAAATGAGCCCATTTTCTCTTTGGGAGAAAAGACTGAGCCAAGCAAATCTAGGTCATCCACTGAGAGATGCAGACATTCCAGGAAACCCATGGTTCCAATCCACAGTTGGAACTAAAGCCAACCTTGAAAATGCAGCTGCCTGACCAGCTGTTTCAGTCACGACATTCACCTGCTTCTGCCTCTCACACTACTTACTGGAAGGAATGTAAATTGTTATAATCTTTTTGGAGGGCAGTGTGGTATTACCTATCAATAAATATTTAAAGCTATCAACCTCATAATTACACTAAAAATTTATTCTACAGAAACACTGATATGAGTGCAAACAGATCTAAGAGTGTTCACTACAGTTTGTAATCACGAAAAACTGCAAACACCTAAAATTCCATCAATAGGGGATGGATTAAATTATAGTGTCGTCACACAATGTGACACAATGAAGCTGTTAAAAAAAAGAATGTCCTACAAGAACACCTGGGTGGCTCAGTCAGTTAAGTGTCAGGCTTTGGCTCAGGTCATGATCTCTGGGTCCTGGGATCAAGTCCCGCATTGGGCTCTTTGCTCAGTGGGGAGCCTGCTTCTCCCTCTGCCTGCCGCTCCCCCTGCTTATGCTCTCTCTCTCTGACAAATAAGTAAAATCTTAAAAAAGTCGTACAGAAAAGCACATTGCAGAACAATTTGTATGGCATGATCCCATTTTTATTTAAAAAAATACATAAACATTTGTGCATCTATGAATAGAAAACAGGAAGAAAACCACTTAATTATCAATATGGTTACCTCCAGAGTAGGAGTAAGGATAGGAGGGCTATAGTAAGAATTAAATTTCTAAAAAGGATATCATTTTACAAGGGAAAAAACTATAGAAAAGATCAACTGGATTCAACCTGAGCTTCCTTAGGGCATTACCTTTTTTAGAGGTTCTATATAAATAGTCTAGCACCTAGCCCAGCATTTGACTGACACAGAGACCAATTATTTGACTAGTATGTGCAAGATGGAAGAACACATGCATGTGCGTGGACACACACACACAACCTCTGTTTTTTAAGTGTCTGCGGATTAGTGGAATCATTGTAGTCAGGAACTCTTGTTTACAATAAAGGCTCGTTGAAGCAATGCTGTTCAAGAGAACCTTGCGCAATGAATGGAAACGTTCTCTATCTGTGCTGCCCAATATGGTAGCCACTAGACCAAATGGCTTTGAATACTGGATATGTGGCTAGTGCAATGGAATAACTGCATATTACATTTTATTTAATTAATTTAAATTTAAATAGCACATGTGGCTAGTATTAGACAATGAAGATTTGAAGGATCTGTTGAAATATATGAAAAATATACACATATACAAAATTTTGCATACCATTTCAAGATATCCAGGGACCCTCTCAAACCCATCCATGTGTCCTTACATCAGAAACCTTTGAGGCTGATTAAAAGAATGAGAATAAGATAAACGGGACTAAAAAGAGAAGGAATACAGAACTAAAGAGCCCAGATGGAAAATGCTACCATTCAGAACCCCGGAAGGCAAGAGACAAGGTATGGAGATAGCCTCTGCCTCCTTTGTCCTCCCACCACAGAGAACATTTATTCATTGTATTTTAACTGTTTACTTGTCTTCCCCACAGTGGGCTGTACACTGCAGATTATATACTCCCTAAGAGCAGGGACCACATCTAACTTATTCACCATTATATACAAAGAGCCCAGTATAAACCCAGCACACAGTTGGTACTCAAATGTCTGCTGGATAAATTTTACCAGGCATCTGATTCTTGCCTGTCCTGGAAACAAGAGCTCCTGAGTTAAGGAGGGTCTCCATGATAAGAGGAATTGGCTGGCTCATGAGAGAGATAGGGTTTTCACAAAGTTGAGCAGATACTCAGATCCATGAAAATCTTGTCTCTCCCAGGTTGTTCCTATCCCTTGTAGTTCGGAGTCCTTTGTTGATATACAAGCCATGCAAAGACTTCAGTAGTCAGTGATAGGGAGCCATACACAGAGGGCCAAATGTCCTCAAAGGTCTTCTCCTTGGATGTCTCCTGCTCTGTTTCTCTACCTCTGGAATTTGCCTGCCTTCTCTCACATTGCCCCTCTACCTGTAATTCTTCTCTTATGTCTCTACTGGGCCAATTCTAACTCATTCTTAAATGCTTCTTCCTCTGGGAAACTTGTGCTGGTACTTCCAGACAGAATTATGCCGTATCTCCACTGTTTCCCTTTGTGTTTTGCATATTTCATCATGTGTGCTCTACCATGGCAGGACCTAGTTATTTATTTTTGTATACCAGCATTAAATACTGTTTGGCATATAATAGGGGGCCAACAACTAGTATGGACCACTAAAAGAACATAAACTCAATTGTTTTTCCCTACCCACACCACCACTGCTTAGCGTGTGCTGATCAAAGTCTACAGATTAGGTGTTAATGAGCCTGTTTCATTCACCCTGAAGAAGCCTGAAAACAAAAAGTCAGGGTTCTCTTTATGGGTACTCCAAAGAAATAGGAAATATGTGACAGATATGTAACAAAAGGAACAGAAAGGAGAAAGTTTCCACCTGAACAGAACTCAAAAGGCTGACCAGGCAGAAATGCAGGGCAAGAAACAAGCAGTAAGAACATCCTTAATATGGAATTTATGAAAAGCCCACAGCTATCATCATACAATTGTGAAAGACTGAAAACTTTACCCCTAAGCCATTAACAAGACAAAGATGCCCACTTTCACTCTGCTACTTCTATTCAACATTGTAGTGGAATCACAATGAGATATCCAGAGCAACTGGACAGAAAAAGAAATAAAAGGCATCCAATTGGAAAAGGAAGAAGTAAAATTATCTCTAGTCTCAAATGACATGAAAAAAATACACACACCCACATACATTTTAAGAATCCACACACAAAAAATTATTAAGCTAAAAAATTCAAAGTTGCAGGATTAAAAAATCAATGCAAAAATCAGTTGTAAAAATGAACAATCCAAACATAAAATTAAGAAAACAATTTATTTTATTATTTTTGGGGCATTTTAAATAGCATCAAATGAATAAGATATGTGGGAATAAATTTAACCAAGGAGATATAAGACTTGTATGCTAGAAATGACAAAACACTGCTGGAAGAAATTAAAGATCTAAAAAAAAATGGAAAGACATCCTATTTTCATGGATTGGAAGACTTGATAATGTTAACATGGTAATACTACCTAAAAATAATTTATAGATTCAACACAATCCCTATCAAATTCCTATCAGCCTCAGAGGCAACAAAAGCAAAAATAGACAAAGGTACTACATCAAACTTAGAAACTTTTGTGGATCAAAGGGCATAATCAATAGAACAAAAGGCAACCTATGGAGTGGGAGAAAATATTTGCAAATCATTTATCTGATAAGGGGTTAGCATCCAGAATATGTAAAGAACTACAATTCAACAACAAAAAAATCAAACAACCTGATTGAAAAATGCATAAAGGACTTGAATAGACATTTTTCTAAATGACAGCTCAGGTCATGGTCTCAGGGTCATGGGATTGAGTCCTATGTGGTGGGGCTCTGTGCTCAGCAGGGAGTCTGCTTCTCTCTCTCTCTCCCTCCGCCCCTCCCCCTGCTCATGCACTCAATCTTGCTTTCTCTCTCTCAAATAAGTAAATAAATGTTTAAAAAAATTAAAAATAGTGGGGTACCTGGATGGCTCAGTCAGTTGGGCACCTGCCTTTGGCTCAGGTCATGATCCCAGGGTCCTGGGTTGGAGCCCGGCATCAGGCTCCCTGCTCAGTGGAGAGCCTGCTTCTCCATCTCCCTCTGCCCCTCCCCTGCTCATGCATGTGCTCTCTCTCTCTCTCAAATGAATTAATGAATGAATAAATAAATAAATCTTTAAAAAAATAGAAATACCATATGACCTAGCAATCCTATTTCTGTATATATACCCAAAAGAATTGAATGTAGAGTCTTAAAAAGGTACTTGCACGCCTATGTTCATAGTAGCACTATTCATGATAGCCAAGAGGTGGAAGCAGCCCCCGTGTCCATCAGCAGATGAATGGATAAACAAAATGTGATATGTTATTCAACCTTTAAAAGGAAGAGATCCCATCACAAGCTACAACATGGATGAACCTTGAGGACATTAAGCTAAGTGAAATGAGCCAATCACAAAAAGACAAATACTATATGATTCCACTTATAGGTGTCATGATACTGTGATTTATAATACGTATTTGGTCTTTATTCCTGTTCCTGGTAGAGCTCCTAAGACCCTAGGGATTTCCTAAGTGATGAGAGTGATTCAGGTATCTTTTGTTACTTAAAACACACCCCTTTCAACCACACTTGAGTTTGTTAATGCAGTGACTTTTGGAGAGCACTTAAGGACGGGGGTTGATTGGCCAGGGGAACCAACTCTGTTGATAAGAGGGTTGGAACTTTCAGCCCACTTACTAACTTGCGGGGGTTGTGGGTAGGGAACTGGAGATTAACTTAACCAGTGGCCAATGATTTAATCCATCATGCCTAAGTAATGAACCACCCACAAAAATCCTAAATGACTAGATTCGGAGAGTTTTTGGGTTGGTGAACAAGAAGGCATTCACATGCCAGGGGATGGCACACCCCAAACTCTACAGGGTCAGAGGCTTCTGTGCTCAGGACCCTTCAAGACTTTGCTCTATGTGTCTCGTCATCTGGTTGTTCATTCATATCCTTTAATATTCTTTTCCTTTTTTTTTTTTTAAGATTTTATTTATCCATTTGACAGAGAGAGTGAGAGAACACAAGCAGGGGGAGCAGCAGAGGGAGAGGGAGAAACAGGCTCCCTGCCAAGCAGGGAGCCTGATGCGGGACTCAATCCCAGGACCCTGGGATTGATCATGACCTGAGCGGAAAGCAGACACTTAACCAACTCAGCCACCCAGGCACCCCATATCCTTCAATATTCTTTGTAATAAGCCAATAGTCTAGAAAGTAAACTGTTTTTAAGTTCTGTGAGCCATTCAAGTAAATAATTGAACCCAAGGAGGGGGTTGTGGGAACCTCTGATTTCTGGTTTGTCAGAAGCACAGGTGATAACCTGGACTTGCAACTGGCATCTGATGTGGAGCCGTCTTGTGGGACTGAGCCCTTGACCTGTGGGTCTGAGGCCTAGCTTCAGGTAGATAGTGTCAGAATTGAGTTAAATTGTAGGACACCCAGCTGGTGTTGGGAGAATTGCTTGGTGTGGGAAAAGTCCCCACACGTTTGAAGTACCGAGTATTCTGTGAATATTAAGTGAAGGAAAACAATTTTTTTTTCAGGTATCTAAAACAGTCAAACACATAGAAACAGAGAGTAGGGGGCAGGGGGAAATAGGAAATTGTTATTCAATGGGTATAGAGTTTTAGTTATGCAAGATGATTAAGTTCTAGAGATCTGCTGTACAACGTTATGCCTATAGTTAACTACACGGTACTGTACACACAGAAATTTGTCAAGGGGTAGATCTCATGTTAAGTGTTCTTATTGCAATAAAGAAAAAGAAATTAAAACTTGTGAATCAAAGGGCACTATCAATAAAATGTATAGACAACTTACAAAACAGGAGTAAATATTTGAAAATTGTATCTGATAAGGGTCTTATATCCAGAATATATGAAGAACTCTTATAAGTCAAAAACAAAAGACAAATAGCCCAACTTAAAAATGGGCAAAAGAGGGGCGCCTGGGTGGCTCAGTTGGTTAAGCGACTGCCTTCGGCTCAGGTCATGATCCCAGGGTCCTGGGATCGAGTCCCGCATCGGGCTCCCGGCTCAGCAGGAAGCCTGCTTCTCCCTCTCCCACTCCCCCTGCTTGTGTTCCCTCTCTCGCTGTCTCTGTCTCTGTCAAATAAATAAATAAAATCTTTAAAAAAAAAAATGGGCAAAAGACTTGAATAGATACTTCTCCAAAGATACATAAATGACCAGGAAGCACATGCAAAGATGCTCAGAGATGCTAAATAGGGAAATGCAAATCAAAACCACAATGCAAGAACACTTCACTCCCACTAAGCTGGTTATAATCAAAACAATGAAAAGTAACAAGTATTGGTGAGGATATGGGGAAACTGAAACCCTCCTGCATTGCCAGGGGGGATGTAAAATGGCTTAGCCACTGTAGAAAAGTTTGGTGATTCTTCAAAAAGTTAAAAATAGAATTACCATATGACCCAGCAGTTCCGCTCCTTAGTATATACTCGAAAGAACTGAAAACATGTACTCAAACACACATTTATAAATGAATGTTCATAACAGCACTATTCACAATAGCCAAAAGGTGGAAACAACCCAAATGTCCATCAACTGATGAATGGATATACAACTGTGGTATACCCATATGGAATATTATTTAGCCATAAAAAGGAATAAAGTACTGGGGTACCTGGGGGACTCAATCAGTTCGGCTCAGGTCATGATCCCAGGGTCCTGGGATCGAGCCTCACATATGGCTCCTTGCTCAGCGGGGAGTCTGCTTGTCCCTCTGCCCCTCCCCCTGCTTGTGCTCTCTCGTGCATGTGCGCACGGTCTCTAATAAATAAAAATCTTAAAAAAAAAAAAGTAATGAAGTACTGATACATGCTATAAATTGGACAGACCTTAAAAACATTATGCTAAGCAAAAGTAGGTAGACATAAAAGGTCACATATTGTATGATTCCATTTATATGAAAAGTCCAGAATAGGCAAATCCAAAGAGACAGGAAGTGGATTAATGGTCACCAGAGCTAGGAGAAAGGGGATATGGGGAGTGAGTGTTTAACGGGTACGGGTTTCCTTTGGGTGATGGAAACATTTTGAAACTAGTTAAGAGGTGATGCTTGCACAACCTTGTGAATGTGTTAAATGTCACTAAACTGTGTATCTTAAGATGGTTAATTGTACATTATGTGAATTTTACCTCAATTAAAAAAAAAAAAGGTAAGAAAACCAGACACACAAGGTGTTAGAAAAAGGGATATATTTACAAACCAACAAGTTCCCTAACTCTAGCTAGAGGGGGAGGAAAGAAGGAGGTAGCAAGTATAAGGAGATCCTTTAAGACCCCAACCTCAAGCCTGTAGAAACCCTGAGTACCAGCCCATGAGGTCAACTCCTAAAAACCATGGCCCATTCCTTTTCTAATTCAAGAAGCAACCCCTCCATTGGCCACAGCCCTCAGTCTTCTTGCCAGTCATCCTGTGCCCAGGCAGGCATGGGTGAAAAGTACTCAAACCCTGGCCCTTTATAGCGCAGAGCATGCAGGAACATCACAAGGTCCTGGGGCAAGGGGTCCTGTCGCACCAGCCGGCACTCTGCACAGAGAGGGTCTATCTCTTGATTTACAACATCTGTTTCAGCTGCCTTCTCTGGTGCCAAGGCCATTGTGTCCAGATTCTGAGGAGCTGCCTCAACTGCTCCATCCATCTTCTGGGCAGATGCGGCGAACTCTTCTAGGTGGTCCTTGCCCAGCTCTGAGGAGGGAGCTGTAGAGTCTATGAGTCCTGGGGACAGATCACCCTCACAGAGATCTAGCACATCCAGGCTCTGTTTGGCCTGGTGCTCCGCCACAAGGTCCCGAAGCAGTTCCTCATCTGTCTTGGCAATGTGGCCGCCCCGGCCCCGGGAGGGGCCCCACGCAACTGAGTTGTAGATGGGGTCATTGAGGATGGGGTGGCCCAGGAACTGGAGGTGGACTCGGATCTGGTGAGTGCGGCCTGTGAGTGGCCGGCACCGAAGCACACTGGAGCGGCCATTGTAGCTCAGTCTCCGGAACACTGTCTCACAGGGCTTGCCCCGAGCATCTACGCGGCATACCCCTACCTTGTAAGATACCACCAAGATGGGCTCCTTGCAGATCACTTCCTCAGTGGGGAACTCCCCCTCCACCCGGCACACGTACTCCTTCTCCAGCTACATAGAGGAGGGAAGAGGGAGAAAGTCAGCACAAAGCCTAAACTCATGAAGTTCAGCCCCAATACAGCGATGAGAAATGTATCAGTGTCAGACAGAAGAGGATTCAAACTCCAGCTCCACCATTTGCCAGCTGCATGATTCTGGGTACAATACTTAGCCCCTTTAAATCCCATTAACTTGTCTAGAAAATGTTAAGATTAGAAAAGCATTTGCCTCGGGGTGCCTGGGTGGCTCAGTCGTTAAGCGTCTGCCTTCGGCTCAGGTCATGATCTCAGGGTCCTGGGATCGAGCCCCACATCGGGCTCCCTGCTCCGCAGGAAGCCTGCTTCTCCCTCTCCCACTCCCCTGCTTGTGTTCCCTCTCTCGCTGTGTCTCTCTCTGTCAAATAAATAAATAAAATCTTTAAAAAAAAAAGAAAAGCATTTGCCTCACAGGACTCTTATAAGGATTCAGTTAGACTCTAATGTACCTGGTACCGAGCCTGGTACACAGTAAACACTAAATGTATGACAATCAGATCCAGAGTTACAAGTCTCAAGACCACAGTCACTACCATTTAACTCTTCTACCCAAGCCTCTTCCACCTTCATCCAGAATCTTTTTACCAAGTAGGCTCTCCCCACAATCTTAAAAACCTCAGTCATAAAAAAACAAACAAAACCAAAAAACACTTCAGTAAGCTTGTCAGCACTCTAAAACTTCAAAACAGCAAACTACCAAGAGAGGCAGTGTATATGCCATCTCTAAAGATCTTTTGAAACATAAGAGATAATAGCCTGTTTTCCACATTTTCAGTGTTGACCTTCCTGAGGATAGGAAGCTTGGTCAGATAACATGAAGGACCACTTCAAAAGAACTCAGTGACACACTTTTGATACAGAGCACTCGTGAGCCCAGGAAGTGGCATGCAGGAGACAAAAGCCCAGCTCACCTGCCGGTCCCGAACCTGCTCATGAATTCTCTCTGAGACAGCTGCTGTCTTGGCAAACATGAGGACCCCTGAGGTAAGGCGGTCAAGCCGATGCAATGGGTGTAGCTCCTTGAGTTGGTGCTCCTTGCCCAGGATGAAGATGACAGTGTTGTGTCGGAAGCGGCCACAAGGGTGGACAGGAATGGAAGAAGGCTTGTCTACAACCACCACATCCTCATTCTCAGCTAGCAGGCGGACAGGCTCTGCTGTGACTGGTGGCTCATGCCTGTGCACTCTGTTCCTCAAGAAGTCATTGTCCTGCAAATGACACAGGCAAGTCATCAGACCAGAGCTGAGCTGTAATCAACTTCACACAGCTTCCTGTTCCTTACTGAGAGAATGGTCACACTACATCCTTAAGCAGAAAATACAGCGTGCATAGTGTATTCATTTTATAAAAATACAGACACACAGGCAGGGAGCAGGCATTGAAAAAGTACTAGAAGGATATACACAAAAATGTTTTGGTGATATTTCTGGGTGGTACGATTATGAATGTTTTTTGGTTTTGTTTATTTGTATTTTCTCTACAAGAAAGTTATATTTAAAAGGTAAAGTCTTCGGGACGCCTGGGTGGCTCAGCTGGTTGAACGTCCAGCTCTTGATTTCTGCCGGGGTCATGATTTCAGGGTGGTGGGATCGAGCCCCACCTTGGGTAGGGAGTCTACTTGGGATTCTCTCCCTCTCCCTCAGCCCCTCCATCTGCTCTGTCTCTCTAAACAAACAAACAAACAAACAAATATCTTTAAAAAAATAAAAATAAAGAAAAAGTAAAGTTTTCTAAAATGGAGAGGGGGGTAAAAGCTCCATAAAATCATCCTTTATTGTGACTTTGAACAAATAACACCAAGCTGTAAGTCCAGATATCTGGTCTCTAGACTTGGATTTGCCACAGGCTCACTGCACGTCACTTAACTTCTCTGGGCCTCAGTTTCCTCATCTGTAAAATGTGAGGATTAGGCCAGACCTGTACTTCTCAAAATTGGGATGGGAGAGGGGATTCAAACCACTCATTCCTCAAATGCTGAAATCACCTTGTCTCCCCTCACAACAAAGTGTTACTGACAGCGGAGTCTGGTAACTCTTAGCTGTGATGGAATTTTAAAGGGTCAAAGCACTGGGCTAGACAATTCTAGTTTCTATACCTGACATTTCACAATTCTATCATATCAGGATCTATGATAAATAAGTAGTAGTTACAAGAACACAGACTTTGGAGGTGACACTGTTGCAGGTACTTACCTCTCTGAAGTTTACCTTAGTTTTGTTTCCTCACAGGTAAAATGAGGTGGCAATACCTACCCCACAAAGCTGTCGTTAGAATTTGATGTTAAGTACATAAAATGCTTACCTCTGTGCCAGCACACAGTAAGGAGACATAAATGACAGGCTCTATTATTACTATTTGTACAGAGATCTACAACGCAACATAGCGATCAGTGCCAGTGCCGCGAGACAGCGCACAAAAGGAGCTTTAAGAATTCCAACTTCTGTCCCCTGCAAACAAGGAAGCCGCCTGGAAGGAGGGGATATACGGGTTGAGTTTTGAAGCAGAGACTACTTTTGCGGAGATGGGATAAGAGGAGTGGGCTACAAGAGTGTTCCAAGTGAAAGCGAAAACGCTTCAGAATTACCTCGATTTTACTCCAGTACCTACGCCCTATTAACTCTGAAAAGACCCCTGCCCCCTTTCCTCGCCCGCTTCCTGCCGGCCCCATCAGGACTCCACCTTGAGCACAATGCTGAGGTCCTGTACCGGCTCCTCGTTGAGATGCAGGCGCCCCGCCCGGACTGCGGCCTCATAGTAGGCCAGGGGCTGGGCTCGGAATTCGGTGCTGAAGACGTGCAGCAAGCTGTGGCCCACCCAGCGGCCTTTGCAGTAGGTCCGAAAGTCAAAGTAATAAGGCCGCACTTTGCGCAGGCCGCCTTCGAAGTAGTAGCTGGTCTCTGCAAAATGCTCATCGCCGAAGCTCACCCCTGCCCGCCGCTTCTTCGGGGGTGGCACGACGCGCTCCCTGATGGCGTCCCGTCGCTTTTTACGCTTGCCTGGGCCCGAAGCTGCAACCGGGGCCTTCTCGCTCAGTGGAGTCTGCTTCCCGACCTCCCGGGCCGGCTCCACTCCCGGGCCTACAGGTTCCGGGCTCCCGGAGGTCCGCTCACCCCTCGCGTCGCCGCATGCGTCTCCGTTTTGTTGAACCGCAGCCCTCAGCCCGATCGCTGCCTCGGCCCCAGTCGAGAATGTTTCCGCCATCGGACCCCAGCAACTACCCCAAATCCTGGCAGCGCTAAGGCGCCGGAGGTTGAGGCACCCTTGCAGACGAACTGGAAGCCACCGGTGGCCGCCCAGCCACATGACAACTCGGCCCCAGATCATGGGTCGCGATGTGAGGACGTCACCGGGCACCAGCCAATCAGCGAGGCCCAGCGTCGAGGCGGGGACTGAGAAGAGAAGGAGTGAAGGAGGGAGTTGAATGAGTGGAGTTGAACGTGTTGAGTTGCCAGTTGAGAGTCAGTGAGTGAGAGTGAATATGGGAGTGAGTTCAGTGGAGAGGCTGTGAGAATGACTCATCAAAAGTGTAGATTCCATGTAGATACGCTCAAAGTCCCTTGGGTCTGGAAAAACGAAAGGAGCCTTATCCAAAACAAATCAGAATGAGGATTGCTGAACTCTGACTATACTAAGAAGCGCTGTGTTGTACACTTTAAAGGGTGAATATTATAGTATGTGACTTATAACTCAATAAAGCTGTTAATATATGTATCTAAACACGCACACCCCAGAAGCAATGTCTTCACACCTATCCTATCCTTCCTGAGAGGGATTAGAACTCCCATTTGCCTTTCATATGCTCCTGTCCTGTTAAAAGGGCAAGTGGAGCAGAAGATGTATTTGTCAGCGTTCTTAAATGCAAAATACGAACCAACTCTGGTTAAGTTCATCAGAGAGGCAATTATTGAAAGGATATTAGTGCCTCATAGAATACAGAGAGCTGGAGACCAGGCTCAGAAACAGAGCCAAATCAAGAGAAGACAAGGCCTCTGAGAACCAGCTACATGACAAAAGGGTGAATTGTATGGAATGTGAATTCGATTTCAATAAAGTTTTTTTTTTAAAGAATGTTTTTCCTAATGTGTCTGAAGCACAGACAAGGAATGAGATGTTGGAACATTCTAGAGAGGAAGTCCTTGTGGGATTGTATAAAGTCTTGCTACTCAAAATGCAATCTCTGGATTAGCAACATGGGAAACACCTGGCAACTTGTTGGAACTGCAGAATCTTGTTCCTTCTTCCCTCCTGACCTACTGAATGAGAATCTGTATTTCAACAATATCTTCAGATGGTATGTCTGTATATTAACATTTGAGAAGCGCTGGTATAGACCATGTAGAGCAGACATTTGTCATATTTTTTGGATATCCAGCATCTTCTTAACCCTCTTCTTTTGTGTGAGGAATTTCCCACATTATAAGATGTGGAAACCAGAAACCGGCCTTCCCAGATTCCCTTGCAGCATGGGCATTTATCACCTGGGCTCCATTGATCAGTCAGGGCTTTTTTTTTTTTTTTTAACATTGATTTTATTTATTTGACAGAGAGAGAACACAAACAGGGGGAGTGGGAGAGGAAGAAGCAGGCCTCCTGCTCAGCAGGGAGCCCAATGCGGGGCTCGATCCCAGGACCCTGGGATCATCACCTGAACCGAAGGCAGAAGCTTAACGACTGAGCCACCCAGGCGCCCCCAGTCAGGGCCTTTAGTTCAGAGGCACACAGCAGAGGAAGCAGGCACAGTGTAGAACCCATGAGGGTTCTATTGGAATGAGGTTAAATGCTAAACTCTCTCTCTCAAAAAAAAAAGATAGCATTGGAAACATCTGATTTGGAGGGCTAACAGTAGGGGAGATTCTTGCGTCCAGTGGTCAGTCAGCAATGCCGGCTGCAGTATCTATGTTCAAAGGCATTGGAGTATTCCCTGAGTAGTCCCTCGGTGAGGTTTAGACACTGTTCCTGGCTGTATGGACCCCAAACATGACTCTCTGGCCCATCTTAAGATTCTGTGAACTACTTAGTATGCTTTAATCCTGTGCTGTACAATGGAGTAACCATTAGTCACATATGGCTATTTAAATTTAAATTAAGTAAAATGAAAGAAAAATTAAAATTCAGTTCTTCAGCTGCACAAACTGCATTTCAAGTGCTCAATAGCCACATGAAACTACTGGCTACCTTATTGGACAGCTCAGATACAGAAAATTTCTATCACCACAGAAAGTTCTATTGGACAGAGCAGCTTTAATCAATTTCTTTTACTGCTTAAGCTGGTTAAATGAATTCTACTGTTTGAACTAAGAACTCCAACTAACTTACTATGATAAGGATTTAAGTCTTTATGGTAAGAGCAATGGGAAATCATCAGAGTTTTTCGTGTGTCTGTGAGGTGTGTGACGTGATCTGATCTCTATTTCCAAAAGATCACCTCTGTTACAACATGAAGAAGGAACTGAAGAGGGAATCACAAGCTCTAGCTCCAGTTCAGTGTGGTTTGACCATGTGAGTTCTAATTCAAATATTCACATACCAAACAAATTTTGAACATTTGCCAGGCATCATTTGGCTCTGGAGATACAGAGGTACGAAAGACATAGTTCCTGATCGCAGTGAAGACCTATGCTGGTTAAGCATACAAATAAAAAACATATTTGTGCTAGGTTACACTGTGGTTAATGCAGAGTCTGAGATAGAGGGATGCGACTACCCTCACATGGCTTCCCCATATGATCAGTGCTTGGGGAGTGGGAGATCACATGGCTTTGCAAGTCCAGGATCTGGTTTCAATTTATTCAGCACACACGCTAATTAAACTTAGAGGACATCGGTGAATCTGTAAGGGTGCCAATTTGATAATTTACAACTGTAACTTTAAGTCAGAAAATGTATTCCATCTTATACCAGTGACTACTTGTGCCTGTTAAAGACACCCTCATTCTTTTGTTTTTTAATTTTATTTATTTATTTGAGAGCGAGAGCAGGAGGGCACAGAGGGAGAGGGAGAGGGAGAGGGAGAGGGAGAAGCAGGCTCCCTGCTGAGCAGAGAGCCGGACGTGGGGCTCGATCCCAGGACCCTGAGATCATGACCTGAGTCGAAGACAGATACTTAACCGACTGAGCCTCCCAGGCACCCACGACACCCTCATCCTTGTTCAAAATATTTGAGAGGCTACATTTGAAATCAAGAGTTTGTTTGGTGAGCCGAAAATCAGTTTAAAGGGCATGAGTTGAAAGGTCACGGAGTAGCTTGATGAAGCACCTGCAAACCTATTACAGTGACCCTTTCTATGAATCAGATGCTGCCAGAATCATGTCTCCAGTTTTGATGGCAGTTAGAGGACTCTGGGGAATCTCTCACTCATAGACCTGACCCTCAACCCCCTACTTATTTTCTATGAATAAGCACTGAAAAAATCTTGTCTATTATTTGCTCCTTTGCTTTCTAATCTTCTTGCTTTCCACTTCCTTCTGTTTTCATATGCTCTCTAAGGATGGTTATAAATATGACCAGCAGAGTTCCTCATAGTTCCTTTTTACATGGTGGTAGTTATTACCACCATAGCCACATAGATTGGCTTTGGACACATCTAAAGTCTATAGCCTCAGTCAAGTTATGTCTACTGATGGTTGGCTGATGTCTTTGGTCACATGTTTCTTTGGGAGAGAGTAACTGGCTCTGGAAATTGGGGGTGGAGAGTGGGGAAGGGTTTCATTGTAGGGAAATGATAAGCCCTGAAAGATATCAAAAGTCATCATCATCATCTTCTTCTATTTTTTTTTTTTTTTTTAAGTAGGCTCTATGCCCAGCATGGAGCCCAACACAGGGCTCAAAATCACAACCCTGAGATCAAGATCTGAGCTGAGATCAAGAGTTATATGCTTAGGGGTGCCTAGGTGGCTCAGTCGTTAAGCATCTGCCTTCCGCTCCGGTTGTGATCCCAGGGTCTTGGGATCGAGCTCTGCATCAGGCTCCCTGCTCAGAGGGAAGCCTGCTTCTTCTCCCACTCCCCCTGTTTGTATTCCCTCTCTCGCTGTCTCTCTGTCAAATAAATAAATAAAATCTTAAAAAAAAAAGTTATATGCTTAACTGACAGGGCCACCCAGGAGCCCCAAAGGTCATCTCCTTTAAAAAAAAAAATGTGACACATTCCCTTACCACTCTCTCCTTCAGGTACACTGGCCACACTTCTGTCATATCTTCTATAACTCTTTGCTGTTATTTGTAAATTTGTCTGCCCCTATGGCGCACACCCTTCTACATTTAGCTGTAAAGACCTCTGGGACCCATACCTACTCTTAACCGGTCTTGAATTCCCGTTTAACACAACTCCTAGAACACAACAGGAGGAACTGGGTGTCTACTGACTAAATGAGTAAGAGAAAGCCTCACAACTTGGCTAATGCGACCTGGGTCTCCTGTAAGAGTAAGGAAAGTAGTCTCCTTCGCCATCCGAGCAGCCAGAGTGCTCTAATTTGGGTAGCAAATGGGTGAAATTTTCGGGGACAAAACACCAACCCAGAGGACGGCCCAGGAGGTGAATTTGCTCAGGGAACCAGGAAAACTCAAAGGCCTTGGCAACTGGGCTACCCTCTCCGAGAAGAGGATGGGAGGAGGACGCTGTCCCCGCGCCGGGTACGCTCAGATGCTAGTGGAATCTACCTGTCCCTAGAGAAGGTGGGGGACCAGGGCGTGTGACTCCACTGTTTCCCCGCGACAAGTCCCGCCTACCTCTTTCTCGCACTCCGTTCCTCACTTCCTTACCCGGCCGGGCTCCTGTCAACCAATCCACGCACAGAACATCGCCAGGTTGGGCGCTGGTTGGAGGACTCCCGGGATCCGTCACGCAGAGACTCCGCCCCCTACTTCTTCCTAGCCTTCAGCGACGGAACTGAGCCGAGCGTTTGTGAGCTGCTGGGCAGGCGGTTGCGGTAGGTGAAGAGGGGCAGGGGCGCCCAGCGTTTTAGGGCCCCGATCCCATCCCGGGATACCACAGAGGGGCCTCATGGTCTGACTCATCCCGCCCAGCCCGTCCTTGAGGCGAAAATGACTGAGGCCCGGGTCTGGACACCAGGGTTCCCTGCGCTGTTCTGGACTTCCTAGGGAGGTGGGGGGTGAGGCCCGGGGCTTCGGTACGAGCAAAGCTTTGGTTTGGTGGGCTCAAACGACTTCGGATGGGGGTGGAGATTCACTGTGGACCCTGGCATCAGTTCATCCAAGGCCGCTGTGACATACCTTCTGGGCGCCTACGTTGGCTGGGCTGTCACTCCCGGGATTATTCACACTTTAGCCCGGCCAGCCTTCCTAATCCAAAAGGTCCCTCCTGGAAGAAGGGGTCAACCCATTCCGTAAGACTAGATAGTTATGAAGGCCCCTGGCAGTGTGGAATTGGATAAGAACATGGATTTTGGAGTGGCACAGGTCTGGTTTCCAGTCAAGGAATCACTATATATCAGCAAGGTACCCTTGACTAGTTACCCTTCTGATCCTCAGTTCCTTCCTCTGTAAACTGATGGAAATGTCTCTTCCAGTGTTTCTATTAAAATAAGAACTTATAAGAATAAGGTATATAGCCCAGCTTCTACATGTAATGAGCACATGGGGCTTTGCATATGGCATTACTTTCTCACAGTTTTCACCAAGAAGCATTTTTATTATCCTCATGCATTTGGAACTCTGCAAGGTCTGTAGTCTGTGTGCTTTTGAAAACATAATTTAATTGGCTTAGGACAGAGTGGTTGCATTTTGGAGATCTCTGGAGAAAAGTGCAGAATGGTTGTCTCCACTGGGAATGTCATAGAAATGTGTGTGTGTGTTACAACATATATAACACAAATTGGCCATTTTAACCATTTTTAGATGTGCAGTTCAGTGACACATATGATTGTGCAACCATCACAATCATCCCTCTCTAGAACTTCCCAAACTGAAACTCTATCCATTAAAAAGTAACTCCCATTCCTTCCTCTGCCAAACCCCTGGCAACCACCATTCTGTTTTATGACTCTATGAATTTGACTGCAGTAGGTACTTCATATAAGTGGAATCATTCAATATTTGTCCTTTTGTGTCTGGCTTATAGACATTTCATTTTTTAAAAAGAAATTTTGTTATGAAAACAACTTGAGTGCAGAGCCAGCAGAGGGATCCAATTACCCTTTTGTCATTTTTATATCTGTAACAGGAATCTAATAAAAGACACTTTAAGTTTAGAGAAACTTCTTAAAAGCCTGTTACCTTCCTTCATTGGATAAATATCCGAGTCCTGCATACTTATCCTATATCCTTAAAGCCAGTCCTTACATCTGTTTTTCAGCTCAGATTCCAAATGAAAATGTTTGAGAGCATTGACTCAACAACCACAAGACCTGGCCCTGATCTTTGGGCCGAAATCTGCTCCTGTCTACCAAATCCTGACCAGGAAGATGGTGCCAACAATGCCTTCTCAGACTCCTTTATGGATTCTTACCCTGCGGGCACAGGCCAGAGAGAGGCCCCAGAGTTTGCTGTTCAGGCAGCTACAAAGCCTTGGGCTCCCTTGCAGGATTCAGAAGTGTATTTAGCATCTCTAGGTAAGTTAGATGGCTTTTTTTCTTTTCTTTTCTTTTTTTTTGATTCAGAAGCTGGTGGTTTTAAGGAAGCATGTTGAAGTTCTGTTTCATCACCTGGTTTCTATTCTTTTCTTTTTTTAAGATTTTTTATTTATTTATTTGACAGAGAGAGCGAGAGAGCACAAGAGCGGCAGGCAGAGGGAGAGGGAGAAGAAGGCTCCCTGCTGAGCAGAGAGCCCGCTGTAGGGGACGCGGGGCTTGGCTTGATCCCAGGACCCTGGGATCATGACCTGAGCCGAAGGCAGATGCTTAACCAACTGAGCCACCCAGGCGCCCCTCTATTCTTAATTATTGTTTTTTGTCCTCACCACATGTATTTGTTAGGTGTAATTCCGGGGGGGGGGTGTTTCAGGTTGGTTGTTGGGAAGGAGCACCCTTTTCCTTTTTTTTTTTAAGATTTTATTTTTTAAGTAATCTCTACACCCAATGTGGGACTTGAACCCCGAGATCGAGAGTTGCATGCTCTACTGACTGAGCTAGCCAGGCACCCCAGGAGCACCCTTTTCCTTTTTTTTTTTAAATTTTTTATTGTTATGTTAATAACCATACATTACATCATTAGTTTTTGATGTAGTGTACTTTTCCTTATATATCCCTTAAAACAGTCTTTTTTACCTCCTGCCTCTGTTTCATCTGAATTCTGCTTCATTTCTTGGCATTCTGTAGATCCCTCTTGCCTACTATTGGTGGTCCATATATTCAGATAACTCAAAAGTGTCAGACATTTTGCCATCTTGAAAGAAAAGGTCAAGACCCCAGAGCTGCACATAGATTTCTGGTGAAACTATTGTATTGAAAAACTACTGTACTGGGGCACCTCGGTGGCTCAGTCGTTAAGCGTCTGCCTTCGGCTCAGGTCATGATCCCAGGGTCCTGGGATCTAGTCCTGCATTGGGCTTCCTGCTCAGCAGGGAGTCTGCTTCTCCCTCTGACCCTCCCTCCTCTCGTGTGTGCGCTCTCTCTTTCTCTCTCATTCTCTCTCTCTCTCTCAAATAAATAAATAAAATCTTCAAAAAAAAAAAAGAAATGAAAACAGGATTGCAAATCATAAAGTTTCAATTGGGTCTGGGCTTGATATTCACCCTCCCCCTCCAAAAGGCCATCATTTACCCATTTATTATTGTTGAAGGCAAGACTACATTAAAGCAGAAGGCAAATGGTGATCCCCTTCCTTCTGTTCTTCAGTTGTTCCACAATTACACTTAAAATGCAAAGAAGAGTAATTAAATATCTATCATCAGGAAGCCATGTGGACCACTCTCATTGGGATTACAAGATGTTTGTTTTTATTAGGTTCCAACATCCAGGCCACAAGTTGAGTAACTTTAAAAAATGTTGGGAGATTGCTTTTCTTTAATCAAGATTTTAATCACAGATAGAGATCTTAAAGGTCTCTTATTATTGAGTTCTCATCCAGTCAATTTTAGTGTCTAATGAACCATTGGATCTTTCATCATTTTCTCTAATTCTTTCTCATGAGATTTGGAAACTACTTCATGTAGCAGAAAGAAAAACCATTTACTCCTCAGAGAGACTATTTTCAAGGAGTTGACACATGTCAAGCCAGGGAAAACAAGTAATGCCTTCGAGAGATACCTGCTGGCTTCTGTAATTTCAAAGAAAACGTGCCGTTGATTTATTTATGAGTCTATGGCTTTTTTCCTTTCTGGGGTTAAACATGTATTTGATATAATACAGAATTAAGACATGGTGAAGGAAAAAGAAAAATGTACATTTCCCTTTACCTGTCCTTAAAAAAAATGGACTCTTGGGCACCTGGGTGAATCAGTCGGTTAAGCATCTGCCTTCGGCTCAGGTCATGATCCCAGAGTCCTGGGATCGAGTCCCACATCGGGGTCTCTGCTTAGCAAGGAGCCTGCTTCTCCCTCTCCCTCTCTCTTAAATAAATAAGTAAATAAAATCTTAAAAAAAAAGGGGCTCTTTTGCAGGGAGTGTGGATGTACTCATTAGTGAGAGAATTTTTAAGTTGTCACCTTGGCATTTTATTTTATTTTATTTTTTAAAAAAGATTTTATTTATTCATTTGAGAGATGGAGAGACAGAGAGAGCACAAGTAAGTGGAGAGGCAGAGGGAGAGGGAGAAGCAGACTCCCTGCTGACCTGCGAGCCTGACTTGGGGCTCTATCTCAGGACCTGGAGATCATGACCTGAGTTGAAAGCAGATGCTTAACCATCTGAGCCACCCAGATGCCCCTGTCACCTTGCATTTTAGATTTAGTTTCATTTCATACTCACTTTCCTTGTTAAGTTGCTTCTCCTCTTCTCTTTAGAAAAGAAGCTAAGAAGAATCAAAGGTTTAAATCAGGAAGTGACTTCCAAGGACATGCTTCGAACCTTGGCCCAAGCCAAGAAGGAGTGCTGGGATCGGTTCCTCCAGGAGAAGTTAGCATCAGAGTTCTTTGTGGATGGACTTGATTCTGATGAGAGGTAACTGGTTCTCAGTCCAGTTCCAGGTGACAGTATTTCACTGGAAGCATCTCTCTTTCTCTAAAGAATTCAGGGCAAGTGACATTTGAGTCCAGATATTGGTTGATATCAACATCAGCTTTTCTGAGCTCTATTTGCTCTTGGTCTAGTAGCAGATGTTGATAATTATTATTTTTGCAAAAAAGCAAATACCCTACCTACATCTTGATCACAGATTGAACAGAATTAATGAGAAAGCACTGTCTTCATTCTAAGTATACAATGCGCTTGAGAAGGTAGTAACCAATCAGCAAGTGGAACTGTGTCTTACCTATGACTCGCCATTGCCTTAGAGAGTTCCTGTCATATTGTAGGCATTCAAATTTGTATGGACTAAATGAATGAATTTCTTAAGCATCTACTGTGTGAAGGCACTGCCCATGATGTTATGGGGCTGAGGGTGCTGGGGTGGAGGGGAGATGTTAGGAAATTTTAGGATCCCTCCTTTTTTTGGTCCCCACAACTATTTGGGGAGAGATGATAAATATACCTAAAGACATATCTAACAAAATAAGGCAGCATAAGGAAAGAGCCAGGTGAGTGGAAGTGACAGAACATGCTTTGGGAGTTGAGAGACCATTGAGTTCCCTGTGGGCTCTGGTGTTTGTGCCAGAGAAGAAGGCAGGACTCGAACAGTATCTGCAGGTGGGCTGGATGCAGGGAGGAGGACATTCTGCAAAGAGCGGAATGGTGCTCGACACCCGTCACCCGGGAAAGAGGCTCTGCCACTTCCTGGTTGTATGTTCTTGAGGAAGTATCCTGGGTGTGCCTCAGTTTCCTGCTCTGTAAAGCAGGAATAGTAGCTCTTCCCTCACCGGGTTGTTTTGAGGGTTAAAGGAGTTACTATGTGTCGAGTGCTTAGAACAGACCTGGCACCTGGTAAGTACTAGGTAAGTGTTAGCTATGAGTGTTAGTCCTAACAGAATTTTAAAGTTCAGTAAGAAATTATTCAAAATAAAGTAAAAACCTGAATTTTAACAATAGGTCTTAGGGAAACATCACCTAAGTTTGCAACATATCATTAACATTGATTTTAAGAGTCCCATGATGTCAGATGAAGATATGGTTGCTGAAATCAGGGATAGTAGGTGAATAAAACTTGATAGTTATATTTTACTTTTCAATATGCAAAGGATTTTCCCTTACATTATCTTAAATATTGTATCAGCATGCCCCCAGATTCTTCAGAAATCAGTGTGGCATCTAAAGTCAGGGCAACTACCTATCTTCTGAGGGTTCAGATAATAATACACATTTTGCTCTTATCTGTCTCTAAAGACTCAACCCAGTTGAGCCTTAAATTGCCCCAAACACAAGAGACTTGGAAGATGCACACATTCCCAACCCACCAATAATTTGGTATTCTATTCTCTCTCCCCTTGAATGTTTGCCTCCTTTCCAATTCTGAGAAGACAAAATTTTCTCCTGCATAATGTTCAAGTAGGAATTCTTTTTCTTTTAAAGTCGAATCAGCACCAAGGCCCGAGTTAATGTTTCTGTATGTTTCTCCATACCTACAGTGATGTGATGTTCCCTTTTCTATAGAAGCAACTGAGATAATTCTGTGAAGAGTGTGGTAGATGAAGATGAAATGCTCCTGGGGTACCGTAGGCCCCTGAGCTGTGGACACCTGTTCCCCTGAGCTGCCATCTGTGGGAACGCTTCTTTCTATCAGTGTTAAAACATGCGCCCCAGAAACAGTAGATAGGCATTTATTTGCAGACTTCAAAGTTTCTGTTTTAAACAGAGGCCATCTTGTAGTGGAATTGTGTGGTTCTTCAGGTATGTGAAGGCCAGGTAGGTGACCCTCCTCATGGCATGCCTTTGTCAGAGGAGTAATAGGCTGAGAAATCCTACTGTCTACAACACGATTCCCCCATTTTAGGTGTCTAAAATCTGCTGGTGATGTCTTGACTTCTTGGCTTAAGACTTTGGGCTATTGAAGAGCATAGAATAAGGCTTACGGTATTTGTCATCATTTATAGTTTACTATGAATAGCTCATAAGCATTAGAGTGGAGGGTCTTGGGTACTTAAGGAAGGTGGGAGGGGACACTTTCCCTCCCCACCCCACCCCGGAACAGATCCAAACCCAAAAAGAGCCCTCTGGCACAGTGCCTGTTTCTTTGTGGGAGAAATTTGCTGCGCAGATGTTTCCATCTTGGGGACTTGCTATAGGATGAAGTAAACAAACAAACAAAAAAAACCCACAAAAATGGTGCTTAGTGTAACTAAGTGCTGTAAGTATAATTGAGTCTCAGACTGCCTCGGGTATAGGAGATTTCAAGATGCTCACTAATAATTTGGCGTTTATTTGAATGTTTCCTCCCTTGGACAATTTCCTCTCTGGTTTTGAGGGAAAAAAAAAAAGACAGGACTGAGGCATAAGCTCTTCAGCTACTCTCACCAAGCCTTTAGAGGCTGTGCATGGAAGGGGGCCTGGTGCTGCTTATAGCCAAAGTGCCCACTAGGGGGTAAATTATGCCGCTGAGCTGCCAGGATGCACAGCTGTCAGAGGACTATCGTCATTCTCCCCGTTAGCAGTGAAAAACAATTGTAGGAAGAAATTGGTGGTGGGCGGGAAGGCAGCATTTGAGTAACTGAGATAATCATTAAGTAATTAATCAGCTGGGTCTGATGCAGCCACCCTTTCCCCCTGCTCTCTCCTAGCACCTTGGAACATTTCAAGAGGTGGCTCCAGCCAGATAAAGTAGCCATCAGTACAGAGGAGGTCCAGTATCTGATTCCTCCAGAGTCCCAGGTTGAGAAGCCAGCAGCCGGGGACAAGCCAGAGGCAGCGGAACAATAAATTACACACACACACACACACACACACACGCTGAGCAGCTGTCTTGGATCCAGAGGGAACAGCGGAGAGCTCGGCGGAGCAGCAAGGAAAAATCCAGGGAGGGGGGAAGCCCACCCTCCCACTCAACAAAGCAAACAGCTGTGGGCCCCCGAGGACTTGCTTGGGGCTGCCGTGTGTGACTGTCTTGGATAAACTGACTGACCCAGTGCATGATGGATCAAGATACTGCTTTCCTCTGTGTCTCACAGCTTGCCTGAGCTCTGTTGCGGCAGGTGAGGAGTCCACTAAGAATCTAGTGAAGCAGCAAGTATGAGAGTATTTGGAGAAACTGATACCCTTGGGTTTAATATATAAGTGAGCCATATTTTTGCTTGCCTCTTCTGGATGTTCCTGCCTGCGTTCCCAGCATTCCCTTGGTTAATTGTCAGGGGTGAGTGGGGCCAAGGAGAATCAAGTCGGCCTCCTTGGATCCACAGCCCATGTGGGGCTTCTCTAAGTTTGTAATAAATATAGGGATGTTAGGAACAGAGGCCATGCTTTTCCTTTGGTTTGTTCCTTGTGGAGAAAAGGGACCAAAGTATGAAAACTTGGGTGTTTGTGTGTAGATGTATATTTTTGATGTCATGCATGGTTCTCCCCTAACTTCCTCTTGCACTTAAAATGGGCCAGGCTTCAAATTAGACTTGCAAATATGGTGTCGGTATTTGACACCACCCCTGAATAGTTCCAAGCTCGCTTGTGGCGGCTTTCCTGGCCGTTCTTGTTCAGTCTGTGTTGTCCATATAAAACTTTTCACATCAGAAGAGCTGTGTGTGTGGTGCTATCGACCTGCTCCCCACCCCACCCGCCCCCCAGGGAGGTGCTCCCAGGCAGTGGGGAGGTAAAGACAAGTGCGTGACAATGCAGGAGAGTTGATAACCTTTGCCAGCCTTCTATTTTTAACATGTACCCTCTGACAAGCCAGACCTCGGTGCTCTGAGGGTAGGATTCTGTGGCTGTGGTGCCATGGAACTTCTTCCTGGGTAAGAGGTTTCAAGTCCCTAATGATGAGCAGGGTGACCCTAAAAATCTGCAGAGAACATGTGCTCCCATCTAAATCAAATATTTGCCTTGTCTGAAAGAACGGGAATCAACCAGGTAATTCCATATACTTGCTGAATCATACAAACTTGGGGAGGGGGGGAACTTCCAGGCATATTTTCCTTTTTTAAAATTGATTAATGGTCTTAGCTTTGTAATAGTAGGACATAGAGAGTGTCATAGTTGACATAGAGAGTGACCCTCTGTGTTCCCCGGACACTTTGAGGAAGCCAGACACTGACAATCATCTGGCCCTGGACTGAGCTTGCAAGTTGCCATCCCCGCCTGGGGTTCAGGTGCTAGACCACACTCTTCCTACAGGGCCATCTGATGGCTTTCAGGTGGATGGATAGACTTTTTTTTTTTTTTTTTAAAGACTGAGTTTTCTTCTCCCTGCATGATAAACAAAAATTATTCTTCCTCAGTAACAATTTAAGAAAAAAAGTGGTAAGGTCCCAAAACACTCTGCTTAAAGAGCAGTGAGAGAATCTAACTGTCCAATCTCTCATCCATACCAGAAGATAGTGTTTCTGTAATTCAGGCGAGATTCTAGCTTTGCCTTTTCCCTACCTCCCATTTTCTACCTAAGAAACAGAAATTTTAGTGTGAGAAGGTGGCAAATTGCATTAGAGGAACCGAAAAGGAACTTTTGGACTGGAAGGCTTTTAGCCCCTCGTGAAAACCTGGGTGAGGTATGGAATGAAGGTCCCAGATCTTCAGCTACCTGCTCACTTAACTCTTTAGTAGAGGCAGATTGCCACAGAAGGGAGTCCAGTGAGTTGCAACTTTGATTTCTGATTGGTTTAGAGATAACAACCTAAGTAATGGCTCTTCTTTTTTTTTTTGGAGTAGGCTCCATCCCCAGCATGGGGGGGCTTGAACTCATGGCCCTGAGATCAAGACCTGAGCTGAAGTCAAGAGTTGGATGCTTAATTGACTGAGCCACCTACGTTCCCCAGTGATGGATCTCAAAAAAAAGTGAAGCACCATTTAGCAAAAACAAATTCGATATTAGCTCCCAAAGCTAACTTATTAATATAGACTTGACTTAGCTATTGAAATGGTATTAATTTGAATCCAAGAGTCTTGGGTGCTATCTTTATCTGTCTTGTGGCTTACTGTGTGATCACAAGTCAAATGACCTCTTTGTGTTCTATTTCCCTTTTAGAAATTTAACTAACCATAGGAAAAACTGTATTGGCCAGAAATGCTGATTTGTTTCCTTTGACCCTGGAAATTCCCAAGGAACTCCAGTTAGCACTTCCTCAAATCAGTAAAATTTGAGTTGAGAGGGCTTTTCTTATTACCCCAAGTGAAACAGAAAGAGCAAATGGAGCAATATTTAATGCTAACTCTTAGAGCCAAGTGAGGACAATTACCAATAGGGCAAAGCAGAAATGACTTGGCATACCCAAAGAAGGCTGGGTTAGAGCCAGAGAGATAAGCTAAGTGACTGGTGACGGCCACTGTTCTCGCACATGGCGCTCGTCATCCAGCGCTTGGTAAGATCAGTGCTGGAATGGCACAGGCTTGCGTCCAGTCCTGTTCTAGAAATAGGCTCTGGATGTAGGCACAGAAAGTAAACAAACATCCCACCAGCTGTTGCCGAGCTGTGTCCCTCCCAGGCAGGCCTGCCCACAGGACTATTGCTGGAAGAGGGAGAACGCCCTGGAGCCACTCCCTGGCCCTGCCTTGAAGTGACTCCCCAAGGTTGAGAAAAGCTCCAGCCACATGAAACAGGCAATGTTTTCCTGAAAATTCCAAGCCACCCCAACCAACTTTGGCCCTGCTTGAGTTGTAAGATTCAAGACAGGACACTGCCATAGCACTCTTAGGTTTGTGGGAGAGCTGTTTACTTGAACGCAGAAATGGGTTTAAGGCACAGATTCATTCACCTAGCCAATGTTTGTTGAGCCCCTGCACTGTGCATGGTGGTGAATAAAGCAAAACCACATCTTCCCATGTGGAATGATGGAGAGATATGGCCTAGCTAATTAGTGCTGTAATTGCTAGTGTTGCAGAGTCAAGGCATTAGCATAGGGTGCTTTAGAGCATATGGGAAGGAGCTATGAGAGCCCTAGGCCAGTCAGGGTAGGAGGTAGGAGAGAGGCTGTGTTAGGGAAGCTGAGTCCAGAAAAAATGAGTAGCAGTCAGACCGTGAGAATGGAGGGAGAGGAACATGGGGGCATAGCAAATCCCAGAAGAGGAAAACAGCATGTACATAGGCCTAAAGGCAGAAGAAAGTTTGGAGACTGGAAAATTGTTCAATGTAGTTGGAGTATAAAGGACAAAGGAGGAAGCCTCAAAGGTGAGGTTGGAAATTAATATACAAGGCCAGGTGTGAAGGGCTTTGTGAGCCATGTTAAGGAGCTTGGATTTTATTGTGGGGGCAAGAAGGAGCTAATGGGTCATTTTTTTTTTAGGATTTTATTTATTTATTTATTTGAGGAGCGGGGGGAACAGAGGGAGAGGGACAAGCGCAGAGCCCAATGCGGGGCTCGATCCCACGACCCTGAAATCATGACCTGAGCCAAAATCAAGAGTGGGATGCTTAACTGACTGAGCCACCCAGGCACCCCACTAATGGGTCATTTTAAGAGGGGCAGTGACAGGATCAGATTTGCATCTAGAAAGATGGTTAGGGCTGCCATGGATACCACATGATTAAATTGATTAGGGAAGCACACATTCACACTTGGCAATGATATGTCCAAATGAATAATGCAATTAGGTGGCTTGTGGTTTTCCCTTATTTATGTTTTCTAGCTTAATTTCTTTGAAGTTATTGTTTCACTATTACAGAACAAATAGAATCATGTTTGGCAGATTGCAAAGGTGGACATGTCAATATATCTCATCCCACCCTTTCATCCTACAGTATGATGGGGACACTCCTATATTGGGATGTTGGGTCAATACTCCCTCCCCTTGAACCTGGGTAGACCTATGTAACTGCCTTGCTAATACAGTACAGCACAAATAGTGTGACTTCTGAGGCAAGATCATAAAAACATTCCACCCGATCCCCCCAGCCCCCCACAACATGTCCCTTGGTAGTTCTGAGCCAACATGTGAGATGTCTGGCCACCTAGAAGCGCCACAGGGAGACAAGAGGTGCTCCCAGCAGTTTAGCCCCCAGCTGTGTGAGGCTTCCCACCCCAGGCATCAGACATATCAGAGATTCAAATGGTTTCAGGCCCCAGCCTTCAAGCCACCCCAGCTGACACCATGTGGAACAGAGACAAGCTGTCCCTGCAAAGCCCTGCAGATTTATGAACAAAATAAATGTCATGGCTTAAGCCGCTGAGTTTTGGACTCGTTTGTTACTCAATAGATAACTGGCACACCATGACCTGGGTTTCAGATTTTATGGAGGTAATTTCAAGTATTTTATTTTTCAGTCCCTTCTGGTTTCTAATGGTTACAGAACTTTAATACTTATGCTGGGTGCAGTATGAAGAGGAGCAAAATTGGAGGCAGGGACCAGCTGTGAGGTGGTTGCAGTTGCCTAAGAAAGGGAGGACAGTGACTTGAGGACTTCTCTCTCCACTTAGGAGATAGAATATGCTGCAAGAAAACGTCCCTCCCACCCTAGAAATGAGAAATAGCCAGATAATCTACAAAATCATAGCTTTTCTTGAGTCCTCAGGAAGCTGAGGTCACAAGGCAATGAAAAAAAAAAAACGCCTTTTCAAGGAGAGACACACATGAACAGTTTCAACTTTAACAGAGCATGGAAGAAAGAGGTGGCTGACCTACACGTGAGTAAGAAGAAACCAATGAAAAATTAACAGAAGTGAAAAGGCTACACATGGGCTAGCATATCAGTTTAGAATAGTTGGAGACAGCTCCAGACATGGGAGAGTTGTATTCACAGGTAAGCTTTCTTCCATAGGCCTCCCCTGAGGTTCTGAGGGAAAGTGGGAGCAGGGCAGGAAATGGGAGAGGGCTCTCCTCCTCGGTGTGTGAGCATGCAGACTTGATAAGGCAGCTGCTGAGGGAGGGCAAAAAGCCTCAGCTGCTTCCACAATCCTCTCCTATAAGCAAAAGCCTTAAGCCACTGGGGAAGGGGCAATAGATCCTTGCTTCAGGGGGAGTGATAAAAGCAAAACTCACCTGCTTCTGGGTGAAGAGTAACAAGCTTTTCGCCCTTCTTTAGCACAGGCAAAGATCCATTGCTTCAGTGAGGAAGAATGGAAGCAAAATCCCTCTATCCCAAAGGGAAAACAGGAAACTATCATGGGTTGAAGATTCAAGCAAGGGTCTGCTCTGCTGGGGGGAGAGGGCAAGAAACTCGGGCCACCCAAAACCAACCACGGATATAAGGCAGAATTTGGCTTTCAGAGGGAGTAGGGAGAAAGCCTCACTCTTGCCCTTGGGGTGTGTCTAAGACTAAAGCTGAACCCGGATAATGGACACACACATCCTCACCCCAACCCCCGCGTGTCCTGCCCCTCCAGGAGCCTAGCACCACAGGGCAAGCAACAGTACTCTACTGCCGGTGGGGGCAGGGATGGCTGAAATGCTGAGGGCGGAGCACGAGCCCAGAAAATCCCTCTGACATCCCAGTCCCCACCCCTAACTCAACTGATTCAACCCCTCAGACCAACAGAAGAGGCACGCCCACTTCCAGCCATAAACATTTACCTCAGTCTCCGCTGTTTACATAGGATGGGCATTCAATACAGATTTATGAAACATACAAAAAGGCAAGAAAGAGGAA